AATATTGATATGCAATGTGTTGATTCTTCTTATATTCGCATGATTTCCCACGATTTGTCACATGATCCCTTAAGTGCACTTAGAACACATGACTTCAACTTTATTTCTACTTTTGTTCATGAAGATGAAGTGCATGCTCAAGTTGATGCTTATAGTGTGTTTCAATATTCTTCATTATTTACCATGCCTTCTTGTGATGTGCTTCATTTCCTTGATGATGAATCTCATGTGTTTGATTGTGCCCCCACTCCCCAATGCGATTTATATCCTCATGACTTGATTGTTGATTCTTCCACTCTTGGTTGTACTTCTTCTTCTCTTGTTGAGCCTCAACCTTCTACATCTTTTGAATCTCTTGTTGATATATTTTAGTCTCAAATTAGGTGCATTGAGCTTGATAATGTGCTAGGGGCTAGTAAGAAGATTATTCTTAATTCTATTAGAGGTCAATTAGAGATAATGAAAAAGAATGAGGAGCGTATTGAGGAGGAAAAGAGAAGAGGAGAAGAGTTAGAAAGCCAATTGTCATCCTTGATGCTTGTTTGTGAAAAATTCCAATTTAATGAGTGTGTTGAGGATGATGATGATGATTTTGAGCAACCAAGAGAGTGTGAAGATCCCATTGGTGAGCATTTGAATGATGATGAAGAAGTTCAGAATGAAGAGATTGTTGATTTTGAAACTCCTAACCCTTCTTCCCATCTTGATGGGCCTCAAGTGCATGATTGTGATTCTAATATCCATGAGTATTTGGACTCGATTGAGGTTATGACTAATGTGCTCTTTGAGTGTCAAATGAAAACCCATAGCCTTTTGAGTGAGTTCATTAAGAATGCTTCATGGGAGAGAGATGAGTTTGAAATGAATTTGCATCCATTCATGCATGGCTTTGAGACTTTAGGATTTAAGGAAGTTGAGGGAGTTGTTGTTCATGGTTGTAGTGAAGGGGATTATGTAGTTCCTCTTGGAAGTTGGATGTTTGAGGGAGATGATGATTATGAGTGTTCTTCTTTTGAGGATTCTATGATTGATTTTTATGCTCTCATTGGTGATTTGAGGCATGGTGGTAAGAAAGAGTTCATTTGTGAGACTATAGCCCATATTCCCTCCTCTCATGTCCCTTTTTCAAGCAATTTCAACTATATTCCCTACACTCCTATATCCCTCCCTTCCTTTGTCAATGAGCTTATTGGGGACCCCCTTGTCTATGATGATTTGTATATGGCTCATTTGTCCCCAATTGAGGAAAAGGGTGATGTTGCCACCCAAAAATATTTTAGTGAGGAGGATTTGCCTTTTTCTTTTTCTTTCCATTCTTTTATTACCCCTTCTTCTTCTTATTTTCTTCTTTTATCTTTTGATCCCTCTTCTTCTTTCTTTTGGCATCTCTCTTCTCACTTGTGTGCACTATCCTTGTTGCACGCCCTCTTCCCGTCATTTACCTACCTTCTCTCTTATGAAATGATTAGTAGTGCATTTGACAAGCTCTTGCGTGCGTTGAATTATTATTTTTTAGAGCGGTGAAGCTTGGACCTTAAGCAAGCCTTCCTCGGGAAGTAACCCATGCTTTATTGCTTTCATTTTCGTTGCTTTTTAGAAAATATTTTCTCTCATAGAAATGTTTGTGTGCCTTTTTCTAGGTACATGACTTGATATACATTGGTGCTTCGATTTGGATCAAGAATCAAGGAAGTTTGACTCCTATGTTTGCTAGCATATAGAAGGCAAGGTTCAATTCTTGAGGAAATTAGTTTTGAAAGGTTTAATTGGGTCTTTTACCAGTATTTACACCCACCTAATATCCGGTAATATCCTTCCTTGCTCTTTCTCAAGTGGATGATGATTTGTTAGACATATATTGGTTTGATTGGATTGACCTCCTTGTTTTCCCCTCCCATGGATTATTTGATTTATGTTCGAGTGTAATGTCTCATTCAAGCTTGGGGGAGGATTTTCTATCATGTTTGGTGGGATTTTGATCCATATATGCTATGCACCTTTGTATATGCATTTCCATTGCATGTTCTATATTTTGAAAAATCCCAAAAAGATTTTTGTTTCTATCAAGGCAAATTTGCAATGTATCTTTGTTTTGTTCTTGCTTCGGACATAATACTTTTGGACTTGTATAGTTAAATGCTTTTCTTCTTAAATGGTAACGGTGTGCACGGTTTGAGAGTACGCTTGGTTGATTCTAGGATAAAGCATGCTAAGGTAGTTGGTTAGAACTAGTGGGACCATGAAACCGGATTTTACTTGTTTGTGGCATGTTGGTAGTTGCTTCTTAGTTGAATTGACACCAATAGTGAGTTTTTTCTACATCCAAGTGAGGTTCATTATTTTTCAAACCTTCATCATATAATTGCTTGAGCGGCATGGATCCTTGACTATTGCGGACCTAATCTAAAATCTTGACTCATAATTCTTAAACTCTAGACTGAACCACCTAGGGAGGACAAAGGCATCTTTTTGGGGTGGTAATTTTTCTTTTCTAGGTACTTTTCCTTTTCTTTGGCTTTTGGGTTTACATTTGCCTACTTGCTAGCCCTTTTAGCCTTTTTCCCTTCTTTTTAAGCCACATCTTTAGATCTTGAGCCTTTTGTTTCATTTTCATTTTCATCTTTGGCTTTTGTGAAGCAAATGGTCATATTTTGGAGAATGTGGTATATAAGTTTTGTTATTGGTTCAAAATGAAAGCAAGATCGTGTTTTGGGTATATTTTGTGAATAATGGGAAGTGAATAAATGAAAAGGTCGTCCAAAGTTAAAAGAGGCGAGGACCAAGCACAATTAAACAAGAAAAAAAAAAACAAAAGTGAAAAATGAAAAATGCAAAAATATTTTGATGTGAGTATTCTTCCTTTTTGAGCATTGAGGACAATGCTCCATTTAAGCTTGGGGGGAAGCGTTCTCACGCTTTTTGTGTATATGTTTGTGATCTTAGAATTGAATAAGCTTGGGGGTGTTGGTGCTTTTTTTTTGGTGCTTACTTGATTATGGTGTTGAGGTTTGATCACCATTTGCTTCCCTAATTAGGAAAACAACCAAATTTTAAATTTAGTCTACCTTAACCCTTTTTGCCTTACGTTACAACCTTTGTAAGACCTTTTGACCTAGAGGTTGAGTCATTCATCGGTGGAGGGAATCATGGGTTATATCCTAAGGAAAGGGGTTGCGAAGTCAAGATGTCGAGTAGCCATAAATTTGATCTTTTTCCGGTTCCTTTGTGGAACTTATGGGATGCTCACTAAGGGGAGATATGAGATTAGTAGGGGGAACGTGGTAAGACCGTTTGGGATGAAAATGGAGTGTGATAACTAGTTCCTATGCTTAGCATACTTATGTTTCAATCAACCTTAGGTATCTTGGAGTGTGCACTCCGTTACTTGTTTAGAAAGATTTGCATTCACTTGTGCTTGTACATTTGCAAAAGTCCTTTCATGAACATTTGTTTGCTTTTCTTGTATTTTGGTTTCTTTTTCATTCTTTGCCTTGTTTGTATTAATATGAGCTGAGAGTTATAGGTTAATCTCTTAGGAAACCTTTACGAGAGCATCACTCGTCCTCTAGGGCGATCTAGGGGTTTAAATGACTTGTCTTAGTTGCTAAAATTGACCGTGATTCCTACGAAAGTGAGTTAGTGTATATTCTCATCCTCTATCTTTCTTGTTTCTTTCTTTCCATGAATAAATTCATCATTTTTTCCTTGGGTTGGATTTTATTTTGCTCGAGGACGAGCAAAAGTTTAGCTTGGGGGAATTTGATGAGCGTCATTTATGGCGCTCAGAAGAATAAGATTTAGATCCTTTTTCTATATTTTCTTTCTTTATTTTCATGTTATTTTCTTAGTTTTCCTTGGTTTTCCATTTTAATAACTCATTTTGGGTTTTGATTAGTTTTTCATTATTTAGTCCTTAATTCATAGTTTTAGATTTATTTCTTTTATTTTCTATTTTACTTTATTTATTTCTATTTTATTTATTTCTATTTTATTTGTTTTAATTTACCTTCTCGGGTTTGCTTGTATGTATGTGTGGTTTGGATCGAGGTATGTGCTTTAATGTGAAGTAATGTTTGAAGTTTCGGTCCTAATCAAGGAAACAATTGAACAAGTCAACCTAAGCTTCTTTCCCTATTTTCTCAATTCTCGAACAACATCACCAAGCAAGCAACAACGAGCACCATTTGCACCACCGCACTACAACAGCATAGCAGCCGCGGGCGCAGGTCTACAAGCCGCGAGGACCTCCAAAATCGACCAGGAACTCACCGCGGTCTGGCCGCGGCCTCACCGCGGGAGCGGCCATCACCTGCTCCAACGCAGCTCCCCTGTTCGTGCATCTCCCCTGCTCCGCAAGCTCACTGTCACCCACACCAAGCAGCAACCCCGCAGCCCTACAACTCCACACAGCCGCTACCAGCCGCAACAAACACCACGTTCTGCCGCAACAACCAGCCACAAGAACCAACAGCAACTGGCGCCTTCAAATAATTCACCACCGATTAGACTCCAACATCAGCAACTCGAAAGCAGCAACATCAACATTAAACTCCAACTGAGGACCCTTATGTGGGCTCATCATGAGGGTGGTCAACCTCATTGATGCGTGCGCAAAAGCTGGGTGTAAATTGGCCAATTGATCTTGATTAATTTGATGATCGAATGATTGTGATGCGCATGATTTGGTGATGTGAGAAGCATGGGATAATCACTAGTAGAAAAAACCTCATTAGTAACGTTCCATTAGTAACTGACATATGTTATGTAGGTTACTATAAGAGTATTAGTAACCGACGTGAATAACAAATGTTACAAATTAATTAGCACTAGTAACCGGCATAGCTAAGGCCAGTTACAAATACTCAATCAAAGAGATTGTGACCAAATATTAGTAACTGTTGTAGAAAACGCCGGTTACAAATATTTGGTCAAACCTTATTGACCTTATTATTAGTAAGGAGCTCTGGCAAGGCCAGTTACTGATGTGATACCTCTTAGAGTCTCAGTTAAAATATCACGCTCACCTTTTCAGTTCTACCCATCCTCCTTGACTTGCATACCCATCCCATTTTCTCTCTCTTCAACCCTCATTCAAACTCTAATTTTTCTTCTTCAACAATTCGTATGAACAACATATGTAATTTCAAAAAAACCTTAGTCGGCTTACGACTCATGTCAAAGCCACCAATTACATTAGCGTTGGTCTGATGTGGAGATCAGCGGAGTTATTACAATTTCATCTCTGCGCGAATCACTCGAGTTCGTTGTTTTTCGAAGGATTCTGATGTATTCATCGACGTTGATCTGATAATTTTGAGAAGAAAGTTACAATTTTTTCGCGAATCATTAGTGTCAGAGGGGAAAAAAAGGCAACTGAATAATTTCAATTAGAATTTCTTTTGAATTGGATTGAAATTCAGCAAAAGTAGTTCCACCGAGGTTCAATGGTATGTAAATTTTTGAATTAGGTCTCTTAAATATCCCTTTTCTTTATTCAATAAAATCCCTAAAATTTGAATTGAATTTTGTTGTTGTCAGTTACTAAAAATTAGATTTCATGAATAATTTTGAATTAATTAAAAAGGAGTTTCATAGTACACTGAGATAGATTATTGTAGAACATCAGATTTGAGTAGCTAGGTGGCCAGAGTTTCGAGCGCAAGAGCAAGAAATCGGGGCTTGAAATTCCTAAATCGGTGTATAGTTGAACAAGCAATTTGCAAGGCTGGAAAATTTGGTATGGCTCTTCTATTCTAGGAAAACTTTGATTATAATATATTGTGTGTTTGTTTTTTATTATTCTATGAGAAAATGTACAATTTAATTATCAATATTTCAAGGGAAACCAAAATTAACTAACAGGAACAAGCTTTTGATTATAGTAATAATCAAGTTTAATAAAATGCTCTAGTTATTAAGAATGCAAGTTACTAGCATAATTGCATGTAGAATTTGGAAACTGCTCATGTTCTGTTAATTTTTTGTTATAATTATAAACTTATGCTAGACCAATTCAATAATGTTCCCAATCCTATTTTGAGTAGAAAAGTTAATCCATGACTGCTTCAATAGGTTTATTTTTGTGCATTAGTTAGTACAGTGGCACCTTGGTTTTTGACTATACTGCATCAATTAGTTAATTTTTTGGTTTAGGAATTAAAGCTCACCTTTTTCAGCCTTGCAAGATGATTTAGGAACTATATCAAGGTTTTCTCTCTTCATTATTTAATTCACTGTTTCTGTAACATCAAACCATAATACTCATATTTTTTCTTCTACTAATTTAGCTTTATTAGTGAAAAGGATAAGATTTCTTAACTTTATTTAAATTATTTTAAATCACTTGTTGATATTGGTGATATACTTGGTACAACTGGTACTTTGAAAAGAACTGTAAAAAGGTCTAATTTCATCCTCTTCATTCAATTTCTATCATTGCAATTCATTTTCCGACAAATTTTAATGTTAGGCCTATATGGGTGTTACATTTAAGTTGAAATTCATCTGATTTTGATGCACTTTGTTTAATGTTAGTATATATATATATATATATATATATAAGATGAATTGAAGGGAAAAATTGGGGAAGGAATAATCAAATTTGACTTGAATTGGTTGGGAAGAATAGAAAGTAAGATAAGTTTTTTTTTTGGTCAATTAGGGAGCAAAAATCCATCATAATAGTTCTGTTGATGATTCCATAGTGTTATTGATGATAAACTCCTAAATGGAAAGTTGAATAAAATGCAACACATATATATCAGGATATTAACATACAACTCTTAGTTTCTTTGTTTGATCTTGTTAAAACAACTTAAAACAATTCAGTTTCAGGGATGTTTCAGCTGAATAAACATGCAGCACATATATATCAGGATATTAACATACTCTGTGCGTGTATGTTACTGTGTGTGTAAATAGATGATAAGCTAGATTATAGTTTTCATCCTAGTTCCAAGCCTTGTTACTGACCAACCTAAACATATCATGCTGGGATTCAACCTCCGAGAGCTAAGAGCCTTGGCAGTTATCAACAAAGTAGGATATATTGGTTTCGACGCCATTGTTTCATACTATCACACTTTTCGGCCTTTTAGCTTTGTTTTCTCCCTTATTTTGATATTTTGAGTTTAGAACCTGAAATTGTTTGGAATATACATTTGTAATCCTGAACAGAAAATAGCTTCTGCTTGTTACAGAATATATTGTTACAGATGAATGTAGCACGCTTGAAAGTAGAATATATTGTTAAAATTTTGTATCAGCACTCTCTTCATGCAAGGTTTTTAGATGGAGTGTAACTATCTTGTGAACTCTTGGTCTTAAAAAGGTTATTGGAATGTATACAAGCAATGTAGCTTATATACTAGAGCACACAATATGAACTTTTTCTTCATTGTTGAACCTTGTCAACTCAAGTGCTTATACACTAGAGCATTAATTAATAATGAAAAAAATCTTACAACAATTGTCTGAATGAATGAAATTCATAGTACTATAGCTCTCTTATTCAATAGCAATACAAGCATGAGTTGACTTACCAAACTGCCTTACGATCTAACTAGATGTTGACATGTCAAAGTCTGCATAACTAACCTCAACTTTCTGTTACATGAGCTCCTATTCTCTGCTTGGATGGAATTGAGTTAAGGACTACTGTCTAATATGGCTGACCACTTAATTCTGATTCCCTGTAGTACTTAAACTTTTGGCATGCCTTATTTTAATATTCTAGAGTGAGTATATTTCTTTCTTTCATAGAATTCTAAGCACAAAAATATGACCTTGTAGCTATTAATAAATATTGTGCAGGCTTGTCTAATGCCTAACCAACTAGCAATGAAGTGATTTTTGTGCACCTATCAAGTTTGCTTGTCCTTTTTTTCATTGAGAATATATCTTTTTTTCTTTTCTCTCATTTCTTTTTTAAAGGTTCACAACTGGTTGAATTGACACAACTGAAGTCATGCAAGAGCAGGAGAGTTTCGGTCTTGAAGCAAAATGTGAAGGGCTCGTTGGAGCGCTATCTCGTCAGGAAATACCACCAATTGAAGAGAAGACTGCCTCATCTAAGCTAAATACTCCCAATTTTCAAATTTTCTTCTGTCTTAACTTGTTTATTTATGTTTATTTTCTGGCATTGAAATGATGTTTTTTCTATGTTTTAGGCCCTAAAAAAATCAGTGCAACTCTTGTCCAGGGACATCCTAATAGTTTTGAGTCTAACACAAAGCCTGGAGGACCTGTGGGAATATGGTTCAGTTTCCGATGAGAAATCAGTTTCTTCTAGGCCATGTGCACACAAATCTCCATCAGCATCTACACATGTTGACTTATACAGTTCTGATGATGATGGCAAACACCTTCACTAAAGGGACTTAAAAGGAAGCTCTCAACATCTGAAGATCCCTTAGGCATTAGAACTCATGTGGTTAGTCATGAGTGCTCTTATTTTTGCTCTTTTGATACTACATCAGGTCAGCCAACCTCTTAGCTATACCTGAGTTGTTTTTAGAAATGGTTTGTGTGAATCTGAATAAGTTATTGAGCATTTGCAATTTCACTACATTATGAAAACTGAATCGATGATGTTGAAAAGCAGACGGGCGGACTGAACTGATGCCGTGTTGATTGTCTGCATAGCTCATTTCCTTGAGTTTATCTGAGATTTTCCCTTTTTAAAATTTTTTATTTCTTCATTATTTCTATTTGATTTTAAATATTTTAATTGATGAAATTGAATTCCAGACATCGGCAGGTGTTTATTGTGAATTACTATGATAGACCGTTTATTGTCTGTAAAATTAAAATAAGTGCTCAATCGTTGACCGTTTAGTGACTGAAGTTTTTCTTTTGTGAATTTTGATGCTTATTTTCTTTTATATCCCCTAGTTTGATGCATTGATCATGTTGGTAGAGTTCACTTGGTCACTGTTTGAAACAATTTTTTTTTTTAATTTTGGCTTTTTTATGTATATATTTCTTTCCCATGCAGAATTCTATCGATGTATCAAGTGCTTAGTGTAAATTGCTACTATCCCATACAGAACTGTCAAATTTGTGAAGCGGACATAATCGTCAAAATTTGAAGGTGGACCATTATATCAATTAACTAACTAGCTTTTTTTAGTTATAGAATATTATTTATTGTGAATTGTGAGAAATATTTGTAATTTACAGGCACATCAATTCAATATAATTTACAAGATGTCGCTTAAAGTTGGTCTTATATTGGTTAGATCGATAGTTATTGTATATTATAAAAGTTTATTAACAATTAATGGTCTTTACATTAAAAATATATAAATGTAGTGTACAGTTGGTGGCAGTAGGACAATTTTCTACAGCTACCATTTTATTTATTTTTTTTATAATAAAAACACTATTTGTAACTGGCATTAGGCTATGCTAGTTACATATAATACTTTATTTGTAACCAGCATAACTTAACGCCAGTTACAAATAGTATGTTTTCTAACTTAGAAAATAGCCTATTTGTAACTGGCGTTAGCTTAATCCAGTTACGAATAGTACATTATTTGTAACTAACATTAGCCGGTTACGAATAAATTTTACTAGTTGTAACGGTGGCATTCGCAACTAACAATGCCAGTTACAATATGTCAATTTTGCCAGTTACAAATAGCATTTTTTCTACTAGTGAATTTCCCAAATAAGATCAGCCAAAGAATCGAGAAAGAAGTCTAATTATTATATTTATTTTTTCCTTTTATTTTGATTTCATTTTATTTCTTTTCTTTTCTTTATTTTCTATTAATTCTTCTTTTCTTTTACTTTCTATATATTTCCCTTTTTATCCTTATTTTTCTTAGTTTTATTTCTCTAGTATAAATACTCATTTTGGGGTAAAAATTAGTAGAACAATTTTAATCCAATTTTCTCTCTCATATTTTAGCTTAGGTTGAGAGTTTCTCTTTCTAGATCTAGGGTTTGTTTAGGAGTAGTTTTAGAGAGAGAAAGTGAGGGATTTCAATGGTGGTTTGAGAAATTGAAGATTGAATGGTGACAATTGTATTGAATTCCTTCTTAGTCAATCAATGAGCATTTCACACTCTCTCTCTTCTTTATTTGCTTTGTCTAATTTCATTGTTTGATTTGGCTTTGATGTTTTGATGTTTGATGTTTGATTAGAGTAATTGTTCTTGATATTTTGTTGATTCTTGATTCATTTAGTTGATTGTTGATAGATGATGATATTTTAGTAGTTGTTGGCTAGGAATTGGGTGAAACTTGTATAATTGATTAATTGTGATTAATTTGGGGATTGTGTTGATTAATTGCTGAGATTAAAATGATTAATGTAAGTTTGCATGGTGTAATTTGATTAGGCCTTGAGAATTATGCTAGATTGCATTATAATTGCTAATGACACGAACAATTGACTTAGGGATTGCAATTATCGATTGGTTTTGATTGTGATTCTCTTGATTTGTTATTCATAGTGAACCCTAGCTTAACAATTAGGAGATAGCTCTTTGATTCCAATTGATTGCTCTTATCATTAGTCCTCACAACCTTTGATTGGCATGCTCTTCCAAGTTGTTACAATTGACATGATTACTTGTTGATCCCCGTTCCTAGTGTTTTATTTCCTTGGTTACTTGTTTTGTTAGTTTCCTCTCTTACCTTCGTCTTCGACCTAGCTTAGGCGCATAATTGAAGGTGCTTGAACATTACCGTTCCTTTGGGTTCGACCCTTGACTTGCCTCTATACTCATATTTAGGTTTGTTAAGTGTTTATAAATTTAGTTTGACCGAGGGAAGATTAGATAACGACCTAGTTTTCCACTCGTCACCCATCTTTATGGAAAAACGTTTCTTTCGCCTCACAAAGCAGTTTGGTGTATATTTTTTAATGTTATCAGGAGGACTAATTAATTCTATCCTCTCCATTAGAAATATCTTTTAAAATTCAATGCAAATAATTAGTATTACTATAAAAAAAATATATGTCATTGATTTTTGTAATTGAAAATATTTTTTTTTTCTACCTGTAATAAAATTGGAGAGCCTCGAAAAACTACTTTTGGATATTTCATTAATTCATCCAAACTAAGCATGGTTTCTCTAACAATTAATGGCATTGGATTCCTCCCTGATTCAATTTGTTCCATGACATACACTAAAATTGCTTGACCTTCACGATTATTTCCACTAGTGAGGAGATATTGGCTAAACATGCAAAGAGAAAAGATGTCCTCCAATAAACATGAAAAGACTCAGAAAATGGTCTATCAATGTAATGGCGTTCAAATTCTTTCAGATTTACTACAGTTCCATCTACAATATTTATTAGATCCTTGCAATAGGAGTAAAGAAATGCTCAAAATCATTCTAATAATATTCGCTCATATTCGGAATTACTGCAAGATCCATGGAAGGAAAGCCTAGAATAACACCAAATTCTTTTGGTAAAGGACTAATTTCATCATAGCCTAGTCTAAAGCAATGAGTATCTGGATCCCAATATTCTAAGGCGGTATGAATAAAATCTATATCTATGTCTACCTCCTTGATACCATAAATACCTCACAGATGAAATAAATCAAGCGCTTTTCTCTCCTTAGCAGTCAAAGATCCGCACCACTCACGAGTAAAATCACTAAAATTTTTAGACATGATTGCTGTAAGATAATTAAAGCTATAACTATTGTTTTGATCTGTTCGAAATATACAAAACTCGGCAGATTTGGGGGCTATTTATGCACAAAACTGACACAGTTTGTTTCCTGAAAGGATTTGGAGGAAAAAGTGCAGTGCTAGACGATAAGAATAGCGTATGGCGACGAGGCCTATTGCCTGGCGACAAAAACCGCTTCTGGCGACATATGTCAGCGTTTGGCGACAAAGAGTCGGCTCGACGTCAGCTTTTCTCGCTATGCAAGTCATGTGTTTTTTAATTACAACTCGGTTTTTTGCATTGACTTTACGTTTTTTTTCCCTTTCAAACAATTTTTGATTAATTTAAGCTTAACTAATTTTAGGCTTATTTTAGTAAAAGTTTATTTTTTTTTCTGTTGGGGGTAGAAAGTTGGATACCTCCATTAATAATAAAAATGACGGAAATTTTTTCCGCAAAAATTAGCCACAATTTTTTCACTCACTCAGATGCACATAAAATGAAAAATAAAAGGGCAAAGATAAAATAAGCATAATAAGTTTGTATATACAATGTGTCTAACATAGAAGTCATATAATACAAGCTAGCAAAATCTAATAAGTCAAATAAAATAAATAAATGTACAACTAGGGTACCGAAGGACGCAAATGGGGAGGCACTCCTAAAGTGTCAAAGAACAAAGTAGATCGTGGAGTATGTCCCTCACTGGCTCCAGAATCGCCGACAGTCGGGATCGACAGAGTAAGGCCAACCCATCCAGGCTCACCTTGATGCTGAATATCCAACGGCTGAGGCTGCGGTGGCTGTTGCGACAACGAGCAAACCTTGTACGTCCCACCAGCCCCTAAAGGAGTCGATGTCACGCCTCCTTGGCTTGTCGGCCTAGCTTATGCCCCCTCAGAAGAAGAGCATGAATCCCCTGATCTCTTAGCTGGAGTCGTCTCTAATCGACCACCCTCACCTCTGGAAGAGGTATGATGACTCCTCGAGTCGGACCCGGACCTCTCTCTCTTAGCCTCAGGTCTCGTCCTAGTGTGCAGAGGAGGAACAGGTTGTCCCTGCAAAACTAAATCATGTTAGATGCTAAAAGAGTAAATAAATTATGAGATAAGGATAAGAGAAATACCTTTACACTGTCGTCACAGTGACAAGAAGCTCGATCCCTTAATCTAACCAGCTTGTAACGAAAGGTGTCCAAACCCCTCGCCATCCTGATTACTAGCATGCAAGAGAATTGTCAAGAGAAGAGTTCGTAAAAATCAAAGATATATGTACAAGTAAAACGGTAAATAAATAACTCACTCAAGTCTGGTGTCGAGGTATCGACCGCTCAATAAAGTAGTGATCCGAAGGAGGCAGAGGAATCATCTCCTCAACAGGGCCATACATCCCCTGATAGGTGATGGATATGATTGGAGCAACGAACTCTGCGTGCGCATCCTACAAAATAAACTAAGTAGTTAATACCTACTTGGGGGCTATACAAGAGACAAATGTAGAAGATGAAGAATACCTCCTCTGCTCACTCTAGCAAAGCAGGTTGTGCATCCAAGAGCGGCAGCAATGCCTCTATGTAGCATAGCTCCGCACGGGCGTGAGTTTTCCAAGGTGTGCCCTCTGGTGACTACTCGCGAACGTCCTCAATCTCGCCTTATCGAACATATGCCAAGGAGGGCGAGCATGAACAACAAAGGCCTCCGAGGAGTGTTAAATAGCCACTCTCTCTCCTAAATACACCGCAGCATCATATGTCCCCTGAAAGTACCGACACTGAGCAGTGTATTGCGCAGCAAGTGCAAGAATGTTGAAATCGACCCACGGCCAAAACTATACGGCCGGCTTCTACAAAATGCATATTCATAAGATAAAATCTTACTAAAAGGTATAAAAAGGCAAATATCTGAGGAACATACTTAGAGGATCAACACTCAAACGCGCCTGTTGGTACCGCATCACTGTGACGGCCTCCCCAACCGGCAGCAATGGGGACTTCGCAAGGTGAAGGTCTCGCCAATGCAAAAGATGGAAAGTACTCGTAGAACCAGAACTATGAAGACAAAAAAAATGTCAACAAATGCCAAAACAGATCTAAAGTTAACTTTAATTAACAAAATAAAGTGTACCACTGCGACTCTCCAAAATCTGGAAAGCGCGACATCTCCCTCGAAGGAGCTATGCCGACTAATAAGTTGCAGATCGACTAGGAAGTCTGCGTAGGCCAAGTTGGCCCAATCATACAACCCGACCATGGGAAGGTTGGTAAGAGCAGGCAGGTGGTACACTCGAATACCTCTGCCAGGTAAAAAGGTCCCTGACAACAAGATGCGAGCGAATATGCGCACCCGCTGCTCAGGGGTGGTCGCGCTGTCCTAAAAGGCCGCCGCAAGCGTGGACCGGCAAATGCACCTAGACCTAAGTTGCGTGGGCTCATCCTTACTAAGAGCCCTAATGGTGATAGGGCTCAACATTTCCAGTACCTCTGGAGAAGAGACAAAGATCTCACTATCGAATGGAAGCGCGACCGAAGTAAAATCCAATCCCGTGACGAGACTGAAGTCAGTTAGGGTAATAGTCATCTACGAAAATGAAAAGTGTTGGTGGTGTCCCAAAAGAGCTCCACTAAAGCTCGGACT